AGTGTCGAGCCAGTGGAGTGTCGATTCAGTGGAGTGTCGATCCAGTGGAGTGTTTCTCCAATGTAGTGCTGTGGTATTGTGGACGATTAACGAGGGATTGGACCCTGTTGCTATCCCAAGTTATTGCCGAGGAGCCAACGACCCGACTCAATACGCCGGAGCACCGGGCCATTAAATCCAACACTTATATTAACTCATCATACAAAGGAAACAGTCTGATTTGTAAAGTTTCTACCAGTTGACTGATCCAATTTAGTCATATCGAATTCATTAGCAAAGTTACTTATTTTTGCCTCAAACCTAGTTGTTGCGTCCGTTGTGACACATGTTGAGTTCGATTTTTATTAGTCCAACAGAAAATATCAACACTGGTAGTTACGAAGCTCCGAGTCTATGATTCTTCGGTTGGTGCTGACCGGGGTACCACGGTCAGCACGGCCCGCAAGGTCTTCAGACTCCACGTTCCTCGAAACGCTGTCGAAGCTGCGGCTGGGGAAGATGTCGACCGTTGTGTCGGCCGCACAGTCCTGTCGATCGCCAGCACACTGCCCTAAACTTCTTCAGTCGATCTACGCTCCAGATCCGGGTTGTGCGCTGGAACGTTCTCGAAAGGGGAGAGCAAGATCACTTGCTCCCAACACTAGTACAGGTAACCACTAAATTGAAGTCGAAAGGTATTTTGGAGTAGGAAAAAAAAAGGAACAGAAGAGAAAATATTAAGAAACTGGTAAAAGTACTAAAATCTTTAACAAAATTATTATGATAGTAAGAAATGTTTCGGTCCATTAAATTGAGTGATCTGAACGAGTAGGTGCCTAAATTATGCCAGAGGAGTTATCGTAGAGATAATTTTCACTAACCTCATTGTTCACACTGGGTATGTCAAAGTAAAAGACGGTCGATGGCGCATTTACGGTTACTTGCTGCATCAGATCACCATGTTTGTATAGTCCAATTTTATACTGCACAGGTGGCTCCATGCCAACAAATACCACTTCGCCAGCCACATCCACTTGTTCGTTAATGTGTGTAAGCACAAAATCCGTCCCCCGCACATCCTCTGTATTCACCTGTAACTACTGTTCGATAATGAACTGCTGAATTAACCGACTGGGTAGCAAGAAAGCTACTGAATTAACGAAAAACCAAACCTTTCATTGAGCCCTTAATTTTCAACATTTGTCAAAGGTTAGGTGGTTGCCCTCAGCTGAGGTGTCTCGAAATTTTTCACCATTTCAACACTGTAACGGTGCTTGTTTACCTCTTTCCGTTGTTTACTTGCTTGTTCGTTTACCTCTTCCCGTTGTTTACCTGTTTGTTTGTTTGCCTCTTTCCGCTGTTTACTTGTTTGTTTGCTTACATCTTTCCGTTGTTTACTTGTTTGTTTGTTTACCCAACGACTGTGTACAACCCTAATCGGACGTTGGACATACAGCCACTCCTAGCTTCCAACTATCCTTATTTCAACAATCAATCACCTAGTGAGTGCCATTCATTGCAAGTGTGATTCTGGCCCTATTGCTTCTAACACCGGTTGAGCTGATTATTCTTAGTTTTTCCGAAACTGTCCAAGCTCCACTAACTGCCAAATAACGGTTGCAATCATTTCTACTGTCCTCTAGTTCAATGTTCTTGGTTTTTTTTGCAGAATAAAGTAAAAACCAAATTGATTTTTTCAAAGTCGACCCGTGGAACGAAAAGTATATCATAAAGGTATCCGTAAGGTAATCTAGAACTGATTAAAAAAACAATCAAGCCGATTGTAGCGTCCAGGTTGATCTTGGGTGTCAAAGTGAGGAAGGTGTATAAAGATAGAAAACAGGAG